TGTGCCTTTTTGTTCGAAAACTATAGGCCTCGGAAAATCACATGATCGGAAAATCGATCCTACGCCCTGTCAATCTGTGACCTACCCACGGGTAACCCGGGTAGCCCGGATACGGGTTCAATCCCTAATCCTATAATATAATTTCCCAATAGATGACTGTATATTTTGTCATCTATATAAATTCTGTCAGAATAAAGATTCTTTTAGTCGGCACAAAATTTATCGACTCGACTAAGTTGATCTTAAAAATAGAATAAGTCGACTATTGCTCGTTCTATAAGTCGATTTTTTAAAAATCAGCTAACTTAGTCGGCCATTATTTATTTTTTTTAAGATTGAATCCCTTAAACAAATCATTACCATTCCGATCTATAATAACAATGCGTTTACACTAATCCATAAAATATCAAGTTTCTTTAAATGTTTTTCAAAATTACGTTTACTATAAAGATTAATCGACCTATTTGAAAATATAGTAATTGTCTGAGCGAAGCGCTGTCGGGAGCGAAGCGACAGACTCATACTTCTACGCCCTTTGATGACCGTAATTATGTTTTTGATATTTTTATAGTGGAAATATCAAAAATGTAATTTTGGTATTTTCCGGATGTAACGCCCCTGAAAAATTTGACGCCCCTAGCTCTCCCACAAAAAATTGTTCACCCCCTGTAATTTTGACCAATCGAATTTCAGGATCAGGTGTAACGTAAAAATCAAAACGAACCCATTTTTCTTACAAATAACTCTAAATTTTAATTAGGAAATCACCTTCTACGGCCTAATTAAAAATGTTCCTCGTGATGTTTTACTAATAAGCATTATATTATTCTAATCCTAACCCTAATTATAACACGGTTTTCTTGGTTTCATTTTGCGCGTAGCTTTTTTACTTAGAAAACAAAACACGTTTGTTTTGTGGGAATGCTACCTAAAATGAAAGATTTGACCTACGACATACGTACGTACGTACATAACAAGACTTTTCAGGGGCTAAAAACATTAAATTGAGCTCCAGACTTATACCGGCTCCGGTTCCTAGTGTTTATAATTTAAATTTACAAAAGTTGATGTCGTATTTTCTCAAAGTAACGCGCATGCGCGAAGACACGGTTGCTAATATAAATACAACCGTAAAGAAAAATGTGAAATAATTCTTGCAAATGTAGACACTCCAATTATCCGCATAATTTAAATGTAAAAATATCCAATATTTTCAAACTATCTTTTTGTTATCCGTCTTTAAAGTTCCATTTCCATGCAAGCTCTTTTTGAGATTTGGAATCTAGGAACCGGAAATCAGTATAAGTCTGATGTTCAATTTAATGTTTTTTAGCCCCTGAAAAGTCTTGTTATGTATGTCGTAGATCAAATTTTTCAGGGGCGTTACATCCGGAAAATAGCAAAATTAATTTTTGATATTTTACTATAAAAATATCAAAAACGTAATTTCGGTCATCAAAGGGCGTAGAAGTATGAGTCGCTTCAGACAATAAATTTTTTTTTTTTACACAGAAAATTAATAATACAGATTTTGATTATTTTAAATTTATTGTGAGCATAAAAAAGAAAAAAATAGAAATAAAGTTCATAATTCTTGGAATCTAAAAAAAAAATTTTAAAATTAAGAATTTTGTTCATCAAAAAGGAATCTTCAAATTATCACATCAGTCAGATCGTGATTTTGTTCTTCTAAATTATCGATAACAGCCCACCCAATCCATCATTAGATTATCAAGAATCTCTTGGTTAGCGCCAATAAATCTGCCATAAGCTTTAACTTGGGCCCATTATCAATGTAAAAAGGAACATCAACAATGCCATCTGGAATAAACTTAACCTCTAAATCATCAGAATCGGACCCTAAAGGTCTGCCGGTACGATCATAAGGAAAGAAGCTTTTCATCCATCCCTCCTGAACCGAATATTCTATCTATCTTTGCAATCCTCCCCAAAAAATCTTCGTCAATCTCACCACGATAAGTTTCTATTAATTTCCAAACTACTGGTTCAAGGCGATCTAACCAAAAATCTAATTCTAAATTTAATTTTCTTAATTGTATTACTTTTTCTTGAAGCTTCATCCAGTCTTCAAGCGTTCATCAACTGTGACCTTTGGAATTCCGCATCTAAAAGAACCAAAATACGTAAAGTAGGCCTTGACCGTATTTAATAATACAATTCGGCTTGCTATTAAGGAGCTTGGAGTTGTTGTTAAAAATCGCATTCTAATAATTCTTTTAAATCAATTTTTTCCACTTATTCATTCGCATGCATTACAAGGTTATTTACAACTTCTGGCCAATTACCTTCAAGAGCCCCTGGACTTAATAAACCATTAAGCATAACCATAATTTTTTCTTTCCCTTCATGTCGAACCAATCTACTACGGAATTTCTCTGCATTGTTATGAATATGGCAACTAACTCCCTGAGAAATTGTAAGCCAAACATCATCAGGGCTTAGACACAAATGTTTATGAACATTATAGGCATGAAAAATATCTGCTCCTCTTTAAGAACCGATTTTTTAGAATCTGGGGTGTTATCGTAATCGAAAGAGGTTGCATATACTTTAGTGTCTTTAAAAAGACTGGAAATTTGATCTTTAATCGAAATATGAGGATCTAATTTATTATTAAGCTTAATTTGTTGGGTTAGGGTTTGAGTACTTCGATTATTGCTTGCTAAACTCATTGCGAAACTTAAATTGTGATGTAGAGTTTAAAAACCCACAATGATGGTATACCCTCATATTATAAAATTATCGGGACACTTGAAGAATAGTTAACCCAGTGATAATCACATCACGTGAAACAATGCAATGATGTCATTTGTTTACTAACACTATCAAATCGGCCTAAACTATATTATCACCTGACCCCAACACTAACCCTAATTTAGCGCCAGGTCTACGGCAGGGACACGGAAAAATATCGATTTGATTTGGCAAAAATATCTATCGATATAGTCAAAAATATCGATTTATATCGATATGCCTATGATTGACCAATAAGGATTTAAGATTTGGTGTAACATTAAATAACGTGATCAGTATCTAAGTTCATGTTTTTCGGGAAGTTAACGGAAATTTTTGTTTGTTGATTGTCTACATTTCCGAAATCTGCCGATAGTTTAGGTTGGCCAATTTCATATTGCCAGGCCCAAATTATACTTTTAATTTTGCCCGAAGTGGTGTAGTTACACTGTATAAACAATTGTAAAAATATTGATTTCCCTATGATTTGGCCTAAAAATATCGATTTATATTGATCTATTGTTAGCGGGTAAGTGATCAACACACACACCTACAAACAAAAGGAAAACAATAGTCAGTCATTGGGCAAAATAGGTAAGACCACAAGTAACAATACTTAGTAGAGAGGTGAGGCAAATAATGATTTGGCATAGGTCTAAAGCATCTACTAAGTATCGTTACATAAGTAAATCAGTACTATTTTAAAGAACATTTGACTTGGCTCTTATTTGAGGGCTTTTATTAATGACTTTATTATATGGAGGGCGGATAGTACACACACTGAATTAATTACTCAGTATTATGAACTGTCAAGAGGAGTTTGGGCCTCTTATTTATAACAAAACTACAGGCAAGAAAAAGAACAAGATCGATCATTTCCTTCTATCGATTGTCATTGAACTGTCATTGACTCAAGCCATTTGATCTTTTTTTGGTATAATTCTCAACCCTTACTTACAGCCATTCTCATTGAAGCTTTGACGGAATAGAAAAAGAAAGCAAGAAAAATAAAGGCTTCTACACCATCATCATTCTTTACCTGTCAATTCCACTGATTCATTCATTGACGCTTTCATTGAACTATGTGCTTTTCTTGTTCACAGCTACATACTTTACCCAACAAGATAATATCATCTTGATAGCTGTCAGCCAAATCAGGTAAGTATCGCTTTCTTCAATGGGATCGTTGATGGGGGCTTGGCTTTTATAAGATCATTGTTAATGCTTTAATTTAGAGGGCCTGGCTTGAACAGGTTTGCTTGCATAGGATCAATATGTGGAAATCATAGGTTCAGGGCATCGTGGTGTAATAGTCTTTTGTGTAATGATTCAGGGTCAATCATGTATTATTCTACATGATTCTTGAATTCTGTAAATATGCAGTTTTGCCAGTAACAATTCTCCCCACCTTAATTTTTCACATCTCATGAAAAATCCAATACATCAGTCTTCAAGTCACCTGATCGCATGTGCTTCTTTTTGAGGTGCAGTGATAATGTTTTTTTTTCTATCTACTAATATAAAAATCTATATATTAACACTAAATGAGACTAAACAAAAACTAAAAACTAAAAATTATATGACTAAAACAAAAAGACAACAAAAATGATACAACAAAAACTAAACAAAAACATATCTATGTCCAAAATAAAGGGAATCACCCTTGTTATATGCCCCTTAATTCCACATACAACTGTCATGCGCATCTATATACAATCCAAAAATTTTTTTTTTGCTATATTTTTATTTTACTAATTGGGTTAACTTTATCTCTTGGGTTCTACTGGGATCGAATATCTATAGGCCATTCTATAACAGCAGATACAAAGATCCTTTTCTGTTTCTCTTCTATTTTTATTAGGCAAACTTCTCTGTATCTGAATTTTTACTAGGTATATGTCTAGCAGCTATTTCTTTTGTTTAACACCTGTTTTAGCAGATCTTTGTATAACTTGACTGGAGGCAGTATTAAAATTACAAGATTGTTCAGAAGGAAGGTTCTTATTTTTAAGACAGCTCTTATTCTAATAACAAGATCTACCAGGGTCAAATTGTCTATCCAATTTGTTATCTTCAGCATCTTTCTGATACCATCCACATGATTTATCTGTTTTGGCACCAATTTCTTAAAATCATCAAGGTCTTCAAGTCTTGTAGATGAGTTTTGTATTTTCTTTTCCTTCTTTTGATCTAATTCATTTGATTCTGATTTACTAACAGTATCTACTTCAATCTTTTTAGCTTTAATTTTTTTCTAATAACCAGGTTTAATCAGATGTGTTCTATTAGCATCACCTATATCTGCAGACTTTTGGTAATAAACAGACATATCGTAATCATTCTTCTTAATACCAATTTTATTTGAGTCATAGGGTCTAAGATCAGTTCCTTCATCAGGTTATTCTGCACTAGCAGATTCTTGAAAGAAACTGAATGCCTTACATTTATCCTTTTTGGTCTCAATTCCATTTTGATAGCAAAATCCAAGGTCAATTTCATTAGTGAAACTATCTCTAGTACCAATAAGATGCTTTATAGGACTTTCACAGTCGTGCCAAAGATTTTTGTACAGCTCCAATTTGTCACAAAAGTGGTCATCAAGGATACTTAGTTCATGGCTTATATCTGTTGGTTTCTGATCACAGGTGAAGATCTTAAATAGGCCTTTTTTAACTTTAATTTTATTATTTTTATCCTTTTTGACACTGATTTCATCAAGTTGGCTCTTCTTGGTGAACTTTAAATACTGTTCTTTGCTCTTTTAAACTTTTATTCCAATTTGATTACAGTGTCCAAGATTATACATTCCACTGTTATGTTCCTTTTCAGCAGATGTTGGATAGTGAGTATGTGCCTGATATTTATCCTTTTCAATACTAATTTTGTTCGGGGTTCATGGATGATTTCTTTCATTTTTGTCGAGCCTATTTTTGTGCAATAGTATTGTATTTGGCAGCCAACTTTTGGAGGAAGGGTTCTTGGTCAATATTTCCTTCAGAATTATCTGCATTCTTAGGGGTCTCTTTATAGGTTCGTTAAGACTATATCAACAATCGAAATTTTTATTGGCAGGTTCTTTCTTGTACCAGAGCTGTACTGAGGAAAATTTTAGACTTGGAACTATTGGAGACATAGTAGGCAAACTTTTTCTTTTCACAGTAGAAGCCAGGTAGATATATAGAAATAGGTACGTAATTTCTTCTATTTTATTTTTCTTTTTCAACATTTTCTCTACAAATTCTAGTGTAAGCTTTAGGACCTCAGAGATCTGGTTAGTGTCAAGAGGACC